ATAAATCGAGTAATTATTATTGGAGTCTCAATTGTAAATTGGGCTAAGAAAATAGAGTGCAATAATATTATGTTGGTGACACATTTAATATTATTTAATTAATTAAAATAAGTGACTTGGTCCACAAGTATTTTAAATTGGGAAGTTGTTGTACTATTGCAAAAAATTTAGATTATGGAGATTCCTTTTTTTTTTTTTGGTGTTTGAAGTGACGTGGGTTGTGAAAATTTTGTGTGAAAACACGGATAATGAACTAAATATGTATGAGCAGAAAATGGGCTTGAGTAATTTTGCTGGAATGTGAGTGATGATTGCTTTTGTGGTTTGGAAACATGAAAATTAGGATAAAATAAAAAACACTAATGAAGGTAATAATTACCTCTCCTTGATGTTCAATTTAATCATAAAGAAAACTAAGTATTTTTTTTTTTAAAAAAATATGTGACTTGTTAGACGTATGTTTTTGAGCTTCAACTGTTTGTTTTCGAGCTACAGCTGCATATTTATGGATCAATAAAAAATTTGGTCGCGTGCCAATATCCTATGACGTGCGTGCTATACGTGAAAAATACAGATCTTCACAAGTTTAACAAAAGAATGAAAGGAAAAAACGAGAAAAGAAGAAAGACAAATAACCAAAAGGAAAAGTTTGAGCCTAGACAAACAGTTTTACAAAGAGGGTTGAAGCACAAAAATACAAAAATACATGATGACTACTAGAATCTATACAAAGGGTAGCTCATCTGGTCCATTTCCATAAGAGTACGAATGCAGAGAAGAGCGTCATCCAAGCGCAAAGTGCACCTCAGTGGGGTGAAGGCACCTAGGCTAGCTAGGTAATGAACAGGTCAATCTCTCTTGCGGAAGATGTGAGAAATTCGGTAGCGAACCGACTGAAGTCTGGACCTAATTCGCATGATCGAGTGTTGAATCTGCCACGAGCCCTAGTGGCCTGAGGTCAAGAGGGCGGCGACAGCGGTAGCGTTCAACTCTATCCAAATGTTAGAAGAGATAGAGGCTGCAATCTGAAGACCAAGCTGAAGTGCTTGAACCTCTGCGTCATAGCTCGAGGAGGCCTGAAGAGGTGCATGGAAGGCGGTAATGAGAGCT